ATTAAAAGTACATTTTATGACCTAAAAAAATATTTATCCGTGTGCAATTTATGTATGTAAAACGCCACCGACATACAGGAAAAATTAATTCTAGAGTAGTTTTTATAAAAAGATATGAATTTGAATAACGAAAAAATAAACGTCTTAAAATGTCTTTATATACAACGATACAGTCCACGGATATCGCATCTTCGATCTTAAAAATGTCCCGCATTGACAGTGCATAAAGTTGGTCACCTATTATAACTATATTAAAACAATTGACATTCGTATTTACATATCAGCAGCATGACTTGTCTTGTCTAAGACGTAGATGAATTTTTCTTGGAATAATATGATGTTGATATATTCTGTATTTTTTCCGGTCCGGAAGAGACAGCTGTGAGATATTCCATACACAGAGTACCTTTAGTCTTTGTAGGGGACAACGCATTTGTAGCGTTAAGATCGCTCCAGGAGTCCATGGACTGCAGTATTCACTTATCATCAGATGAGCTGTAAAGTTTGCTCGCCACTTCAATTTTTTTAAATGTCTATCGAGTTTCGAGTAAGGTCAACAACTTTGAGAAAATGGCGTGTATTTGAAATAGCAGCTGTTGTTTGTTTACATCTAATATCGATTTAAAATAAAGAATACGTCGTAAGTTACCTTGAAACACCGTGGAAACAGTTGAACGCACTAAAATATCTTTGCCGTGGTTGATTTTTACATTTTAAAGACACGAGTGTATGAAAAGGTTATGTTGAACATTTCTTTGCATTTTATACCTCTCTCTCTTTCATTGATGGCTTTAAGGGTGGCAACTTGAAACTTTTTGTTTCTACAAAAGCTCAGTTTCCAGACCTTTATTTCTCGCGTGATAATATCCGCAATATATCTCAGCAATATATTAACAATAAACAATTAGTACTCGTGATAAACGAATTCCGATAGAATGGCGGTAATTGTGAGAGCGCGCCTCCACTTTCGTTAAGGGGAAATATAACCTCAAATGGCTTAGCCAGATCCTCCGTTATGCCGAAAATATGGCAGCATTAATTTTGAACTAAATATATGGTAAAGTTGAGGATTAATGTTAAGGACTATGTTAAACGAAAACACGATTCCGTAAAATTTTCTCGATAGAAAAAAAATCCAAAGTTACCTCCAAAATAAACAATAAACCGCTGTTATTCATAAAATACTTTAAATAAGATCATGAAACTTTGCATACTAACTGAACAAACTATAAAGCAGTGCTTATGTTATTTACTTTTTTTTAAAAAACCATTATTTTCACTGTAAAAAGAAATTACCTAAAATATCGGCATCTTAAAGCTTGATTCCTGCCGCCCGGTCAGTTTCGCTTCTGCCTTTGAAGGGGGAGGTTGTGTCGCTCACGATCAGAATACACATTACGTAACAGGACGACGTAAAATTAAAATGGGAAATAACCGTGATAAAAATAAGAAGCGACTGGGTTGGCGTTAAGAAACAGGCATAAATATGATAAACCTAATGAAATAAGCACCTAACGACCTTTCTACTTACAGTATTAGTGATCACAAACATGTCGGTACATAGCATACGACGCGCGGGGAAATGGGGGCGATATTAGAATTTGAGCTGACTTATTAAATCCTCTTAATTGAAATACGTTTAGAAAATATTGAGCTTAAACCAGTGGTCGTTGCTTTTCTTGCACTACAATATATTTCCGTATGAACTTGTGGTGACGGCATAGTAATAATAACAATGTCTTCCAGACCGAATCTCGGTCCCTGCAATTAGTCTAGCAGAGAATTGTCATCGGTGCAGGACAGGATTATAGTGCCCAAGTGTATGCGCAAGCACAGGTGCACTCTCTATTCCATCACTCTCATAGTCCGATGAGACGCTAGCCGACACAGACGGAGAGAGATCAGGCGCAAGATCTACGGCTAAGGCTCTTAAAGCATTGTCGACTGGTTGCCGGCGACTCGGTCGACGGCGACATTGACTTTCTATAGTTTAAATAGGTGTTTACGTACTTAGTTGCCGGTTGCCCGGGCAATTCGGCGACTCGCTGCCAAAGAATATAATAAGTATATACAGAATGCTCGCTGCGCAGTGACACAAGAGACTGCACGAATGTATAACTGCCGACATAAGTCGTGAGCACACTTTTTATTGGTCGATACGATGTTGACCACGCTGACGTTCAACGTGATTGGTTCATCAGTCGATTCTCGTCGTCTATTGGTTCGAACGTTTCATTCGGCTTCCGTACACTTCAGAGCAATAATTTTAATGATCTTTTTTTAATAAGTTTATTTTCGTTAATTGTTTTGTCAGCTCGTTGTTAATTGTTGTTTGTGTATTCCTTGTTATTAATTGTTTTTGTTATTTCTTGTTTTTAATTATTTTTGTTGTTATAATTTGAGTGTTCAGATTTTGGTCTAAATATGCAGAGAAGGAAGAATTCGGTGTTAAATAGACAATCCCGACAAATTTTCTATTCAGTGTTTAGTTACATGAAAAAATTAGGTACTGCGAAAAACATCATAGACGTATATAAACAGACTGCTGAGGCGACTAATGTCTCAGTAGCTACTGTACGGCGCACCGCAACACTTGATTTTATGGAAGGCATATCACCTCTTCCTTCTTCTTAATAAAATAATCAATTCTAACCACCAGGTATACATTAAATACTTTATAGTAGATAATAATTAAACGGACACGAATATCTGCAACATTACTGTATCAAAGTAAAAGTTGATGTGTTCGAGTAAACATTTTCATAAAAGTCGCTGAAAATATTAAATTACGAATTGAAATAATAAAGGTATCTACCTCCCACCACAGTTTATCTGTGCTCACCACTCGTGTCAGCAACTATACATCGCTCAGCTTGGTCTCCTGGCCGATGTTGATCGCCGAGAGACTGAGTTGCTGGCAACCAGTCGACATGGCGTAACGGCTCTTAACCCATTCGTTGCCGTACTATAATTTTCTAATGTCATACGTATGGCCACCGCTATAATTTGCCGAGACTCGCATGGCGAGTCGTCGGCCGTACCAATGAGGAGGATACATCTCGCGTGGCGAGTCCCTGGCCGTATAAATGAGGAGTTTGCATCTAAATGCATATTTGTCCGTTTTAAGGTGTTAGAAACAAAATTTACTGAGTAAAAAGATTTCAAACTAATTCTGGAAATTAAACTTCTTCGTTGCTAACCAAAACAATTTAAAAAAACTCTCCGGTTTTGTTTTAACATGGGTAAGTAAAAAAATATACTTTTGGCTTTAAGTAGATTTTTTACACAAATTTTATGTGCGCCAGAATGGCGGGAGCACCTTATTTTACTGCAAAATAATGAATGTATTGGAATAAATCCTTCGTGATCATTTGGTACCTACCTATACGTCATTGCGTACTTGTAGGAACAAGTCTGTTCTTGTTTTTGTTTTTTTCTTGAGTTTTTATTTTTAAAGAATTATTTTTATATATGATACTTGTTTTTACAAGTACACTAGAGGTACCAAACGATCACGAAGAGTTTATTCCAATATTTTTATTATTTTGCTGTATCTTCACTTTCTTACGAATTCATTTTAGAGATATGCACAAAGTCAACAATAATACCTTCATTACAGAAACTCGAAATGTTTATTCTGAATCGGAGAATATGTTTACGGAATATGAATTTTTGCCAAAGAAAACTAGGGTGTCAACCGATAGCCGGGAAAACTTCAGTGATACGCAAGATAATCTACCCGATTCTCAGCCTGTCGATGGATCATACTACTCCATAGAAAAAAACCAGGAGACCTTTTGTGATACACCAGAGGATCTACCCGATTCTCAGCCTGACGATGGTTCATATTACTCCGAAGAAATTAAAAAATATATACATAAAGCTGTCACAAAAAAAAAGTTACAAAAGAAATGGGTACTATGACGGAATTCCAGCATTGCAGCATGAATCCAGAAAAGCAATCTCAATGCAACGAATATTTTGGGAAAATAGTGGCATTAGAGATGTCAAAGTTCCACGGAAACACACGTTATAACAAGATGAAAGAAATATTTGAAATATTGAAAGAAAAAACTACCTAATATATTCATTTACATTACTACCTAATTGATATAATTCTTTGGTAAACAAAATGTTTCAACATAATAGTGATTGTTTAAAAAAAGTACACAAATGATCGTCTCGTAGGTATTATACTATGCGTCACGTGAAAAGACCGCTGGCGACGCACCTGCGCGACTACATTGCACAGCGTTTTTCTTTTAGGTGACGGCATCTGTACCTGTAATTGGGTTTCAAATTAATAAATGATACATGAGTCTAGACTTTATATTTTTATTTATGAAAATCAAAATGAAAAATTTTTCCTAGTTAGGTGTCACCGCCTTAAAAATCACAAAAAAAACCTAAAAAGTATATATCATATTTGGTTTACATTTAACTTGGCCCCTTCTATTCCTTGTTTCAATATATTCAGCATTATATTTGTTAGAAAGAGCCATTATTTCCCTTTTATCTTTCCACACAATAATACATAAACCGTTTTTGTGCATAATCGCCGCCTCGCCTGTTTTGAGTTTTGTAGTTTTTATTTCTTCTGGTATATCTTTACGGCGAGTGTTTAGAGTTCCAGTGGAATAAACTTCAATGGCTTGTAATTGTCCAGACAAAGCGACACTTGTATAAAAGTTGTCTATAAACAGGCTGTGTCCCATATTTTTGTAATTACCAAGGAGGTGTAGCACAACTTTTTTTACGTGATTTGTACCACCAACTAGATTGTCTGCTGATCCTCCGTATAGGTGTATCTGGCAGGCTATCCCTAACTGATCCGCCAACATGTAAATTTTCAACCCGTGTTTGTGTCGTTTACCTTTTACATATTGTCGGAATTTTAAACGACCCTTCCAAAGCACCATTGATTCATCAATGACTAGGTTTTTCTTTGGATAATATATTTCATGCATCTTATTATTGAAAAAATCTAAAATCCATCTTACTTTTTTCATAACTTGTTGTATTTTGTACAGTCTGCACATTCAGCGACCTCAAAATCAATTGAAATCTATTGCGTGCCATTTTTTTGGAAAATATGGGTTGATGGAAAAGTATATCCTTTTTCCAATAATCAACGATGCGATTCAACTTCACAAAACCCATCTGGAAAAGCAGGCCTAGAAAAAGTTCCATTTCCTGTATACTTACGTTTTTCCAAGTAACTGCTCGTGCACTTCCTGTGGCATGGCTTTTTAATCTATTTCCGTAATCATTCGTGCATCTTATCAATGTTTCAAAGCAAGTGTTTGTCATTATAGCTCGGAAGTAATCAACAGGATGATCTCCAAGATTGACTTTGAGTCCAGGTTCCCCACGAAACTCAAAAAGATTTTGGCTTTCTCGTGATGGGTTGCCGATGGTCCATCCTGTTTGCTCAATAGCAATGGACAGTGGATCTTCTTCGAAAAAAATTTCAGTAGGATCGATTATGTGAGTTGGTGACATTATATATTCGTCTATGATATCCTCTTGCAATATTCCGAGAAGGTCTCTATCACTTAGAATATCATCTTCGATGGTTACTTCTGCACCAATACCTTCCGAAGGATTTTCCCAAGTCTGTAATATCTTTTCCAATTCGGCTACAGAACCAGAAGTAGAGGGGATGGGATTTTGAAATGGATCCATTGTTCCTAAAAAAATGAAACATAGGCACTTCACTATTTGAAATTGCAATTATAAAATTTATAAGCGCGCCTAAATCAACAAAGTTTATATGTTTCAGTCCAAGTTATTTATGCGGATAATAGCGTAATAAAACATGTGCGTTAGAATGGTGGGTGTGAAGCACCAATTCGAATGAAAAATAATTTGATATAATTTATAATTAAAAATTTTGTACAGCCGACTTCAATATAAGTTATTAAGAATAACTCAAATAACTCAAAATCTATTGGTCTGACCTTGATCAAATTCATATGGGACCACACGAGAAGTATCAGAAATCGGTCCACCCAGTAAAAAGTTGAAGTAACACACATAAAAAAAAACATACGCGTCGAATTGAGTACCGTCTCCTTTTTGGAAGTCGGCAGAATATTAAACATTTTGTACAGCCGACTTCAATATAAGTTATTTAAGAATAACTCAAAAACTATTGGTCTGACCTTGATCAAATTCATATGGGACCACACGAGAACTATCAGCTTTCATATAAAAAAAGAATCATCGAAATCGGTTCACCCAGTACAAAGTTATGAGGTAACACACATAAAAAATACATTCGAATTGAGTACCGTCTCCTTTTTGAAAGTCGGCAGAAAAGGTACCAGTTGTGTACGTAACTTAAAAATCTGTGTAAGTTTTGACTATAATTTTATGCCGAAAATAATGTGCATTCACCATCCTGACGTCAAATAAACGTCAAGATGACGGGAACCCGTCAAGTTTTTCGAATTAGGATTTAAAGTTATATGTACTACGTACTATACTAGAGAAGCCATTCCGAACATTGACTATGTTCAACTGAACTGTAGTGCAATCCGTACAAACTAAATATTGCGTAAATTGAAGATTTGTGAATTCCATAACATAATAATTATTACATTGTATTTAGAAATATGTTTGTTTAGATTAAATTAAGATATTTTATATTAAATTCTTATATTTATTTTCTAGTACGTAGTGCATAGTACTATTTCATACTTTCAGAGTAAAATTGTACACTCAAAATATTTTACGAAGTGGTCCCGCAATCTAGACGTTCATGACGTCAAATATTACTGCTAAATACTAAACATAATGGAATAAACTCTTCGTGATCATTTGGTACTTGGTCTTGCGTCATTGTCTACATATATATCAAAGAACACAAGAGGTACCTAAAGTAATCAATTTGTTTAAAAATGTTTCAATACTTACATTGCTTTTAAATATGGCGTCGTTCAACAAACGTAGCAGAAGGTCACTAGTCCAGAGGATATCACCTCCAAAGCAATAAGCAAAAAAATCCACAGGATAGTTATACAACAATATCACCAGCGAGACTTACAATATGTACCGACGCGAACATAACGACGAATGAGGGGCGCCCGGGCATGAAGCGCGGCGAGCCATCAAGGTGTCCCCCGCCCCGCCCCGCCCCTCATTTATAAAAAAATTAAATACTTAACTGACACGCGGGCCACGGTTTTATGGCGTAAAACAATATTCAAAGTGGCTGATAATTTAGAATTTACATTTTTTTTCTTTGTATTTTTGAAGAAAATACGATAAATAGTTAGGACTCGCTTATCGAGTTCTAGGCCACCAGTATGCAATTCTAATAAACTCGCGAGGCGAGTCCTTGGCAACGAATGAGTTAAGGTGCTTTCCGAGGCACGGGGGTGAAACATCGCCAACTTTCTGACTAATGACTGCTATTCAAAATTTCTTAACAGAAAAACCCAATAAATGACTTTGACCAGAACCGGGACTTAACCCGGGACCTCGTTATCAGCAAAGGGGCAGCTGTAGGAACTTATTAATCAACTTAGACATACTAGCAGGTAGCACTCGGAAAATATCAATCCACTTACTAGCTGGTTCCACCGGAAATAGCCGGGGCTAAAAAGGGACTGGATGGAAAAAGTGCCCATCCTAGAACCTTCGCTTACTAAACCAATGTCCTACAACGCAGTTAATAAGAATCGCGGCACAGGCCGTCTCGTTTCAGAGAGGGTTTTAGTGTAAGGAAATGTCCGCCTCGTTGCCTCAATACATTTTGACTTCAGATGTCTACGAATTGTTTTTTTTTTAATTTCGGCTAGTTTCTCACGATATTTACCATCACCGCCGAGCACGTGGTAAACCAACACATATTATTGCAATTAACAATTCGTGCCGAGGGGGATCGAACCCAGGTTGCTTGTTAAGTGTGAAATTTACACCATGCACGTAGCCCCTGAGCTACCACGGCTTTATCCGGCAGTGGGCACCAGACAATTCTGGGGTGGCACGGCCAACCCGGCCTCCCTACTATTATACCCACAGAAATCTAAATAATAAGGCAATATTATTTAGATTTCTGTGATTATACTCCTATCTAGTTAAAGTTGGGTGTGACAGAAGGAGCACGAGAGTAGAATAAATTGCGTAGAACTGCGGTCACTAAGGAGTATGTTAGGGCTGAATCCGAATGACAGGGTGAGAAATTGTATAATAAGAGAAAAGTGTGGTTTGCAAGATGATGCTGTGATCAGGATTAAGAAAGGAATGCTTCGGTGGTTTGGTCATGTGGGAAGAATTAATGAGAAAAGAGTAATAAAACAAATTTATGTTGCAGAAGTGAACAAAAAAGTTAGGAAGGGACCCCTTAGACGAAAGTTCATCAACCAAATTGGCGATATACTGAAAATAGTATAGGTACGACGAGAATCATATATGGATGTAAAGGAGACGAGAGAGTTTTGACAGGATCGTGCCAAATGGAAGTCCGTAGTCACTGCCTACCCCTCCGGGTGAGAGACTGTTGGCATATACAAAAATACTAGTCAACATAAAGTCTCTTTAATAACGGATGTAGTCAAACATGTCTTTTAATTATTTCTTTGTTAAACGATAAACTTTGTGTTGGCATTCTAATACAGAATTTCGTACAGTACACACAGACTTTCTTTTACCCCATAACCATATTCCAACAGAGACATGAGTGTTTATGATTTGATAATAGGCAATTTGTAAGATTTAAACGCGGAAGCATTGTGTAAAAGTAAGCTATCACTTTACTGTAGGGGCGGTGTAAGAATATCCAGCCCATATCATCTCGCGGGTGTCGTAAAAGGCGATAGAGAGAAACAAATTAGGAGATGGCCAGCAGCGACTTCCTAATAACGACTAAAGATAAAAAAAACTGCGGTTGCCAACCCGCTTGCCAAGCGTGGCATGCTCGTCTGTCACCAAAGTTCTATAAATAAAATGCATTGTAAGCCATTCTACAGATACCTAATAATACCTAATTGTACCCAACAATAACAGTATCTACGTTTGCACTGAGAAACATCCAACAAGTAATGTTTTAAAACAAATCGCAGAAAATAAATCGCACAACATGTTTTGTCTCACAAGAACTGTGTAAAATTTTCAACAGCTATTCATACTTATCTTTCAACATGACAATATTTCTACAAATTTGTTTTCAAACATTTTGTATCTGTAGTTATAAAGATATATTATATATATATTAAAATATGTAACATACAATAAACTGTCAAACATATTTCACTACAACATGTTCTTTGACTATGCAAACGCTTTTTGATACATTGACAGAAAACAGTGTTTAAAACATGTTTTTTGTGAAAATCGCGCCAGTGCAAACTCACGGTAATAGGTATACAATCTACCGTGCAAACACTTCTTCCGTGCGCTGCGGCCAAATGCCACTGCGTTACTAACTTATAATTTTTATTTGCATTAATTAAAAATACACTTATTATTAGTCCATTAAGTTAAACATATAGCTGATATGAAGCATCAACGTTCCGGGAAGTCTGCAGTTTGTGATCATATCCTAGACGGCCCCAACCATTACATCAGATTAGATAGACCACAAATCCTCGCGAAAGAACACCGATTCCTACCAAGGATGATACGTGAGGCTATTGAAATTAAAAAACCTCCTAATTTCAATAGAGAAGGAGGCTAGGTACTACCACCTGCTTGGGACCCTATAATCAATAAAATTAACACTAAACCCAAGCATACCTCTGCAAGACATCAAGACACAGTCAGTTCTTTTTTGCATAGATCGGACCGTTAACAATAATTAAAAAAGCTGAAGGTACTCCGGGTTTAACAATGACATCGGGACGTCAATCATCTCAGTGTCCCGTGACCATGGATGCTGGAAAGCAACCGAAACGTCGGGAATTAAAAATCAATTAAAATTAAACGCGATAAAATCCGTAAAAATAGTTTTTATCAATGTGTAGTGTTGGCGAAAATATAAGAAGTCATTACCATTAAGTTCCTTTTTTGTATAGAATAAAAGAAACAAACGAGCACACAGTCCACCTGATGGTGAGTGGATGCTGCTGCCTATAGACATATACATTTTTCCTCAATTAAGAATCTAAATGCAGATGCGAATGCAGATCCCTGAGGAATAAGATGTAATGCCTCGTCTCCAGTAATTATTACAGATATCACACTATAAGTTTCCACTTAAGACAACCACGTGATTAAAAATGATCTCTCCTGCGAACTCCAGATTGCGCCCTCCTTACTGCCAAGGAGGGTCGCGTCAGCCTACGGTCTGAACACATAAGGTGGAGTTTAGTGGGTAAAAGTCTCCACATAACCACGCAGCCGGCTGCGTGGTATGCTATGAGCATTCCCCAACTCCCTCCCCCGTTACCGGAGGGTTGCCCTTAATAGCTTCGGGCGCAAAAAAAAACGAACTCCAAAAGTGTAAAATATCAACTTTATCGTCATCATCATCGTGATAACAAGTTGTATACGAATTACGAATACGAGATTACGCCTCACGTTGGTTCACATTCTTGTTCGTCAATAGAAATTAATAATAATAATAACTCGGTACCCCATACGTGGCTAAAGAGAGTCCTCGAGCGGTACAAGATAGACTGTACAGTGAGAGACTTCCTCGAGCGGTGTATGGGGCAGTGGAGTACGATCCTTTGTCATCT